TAGGTGAACCCTGACTTCTAGCCTTTCTGAGGGCAAGCTCCACTGGCCAGTCTCCTCTTCAGTACAGGCTGAGCCTCAGCAGCCAAAAATACAGGCGCCCAGAGATCCTTAAACACATGCTCTGAGCCCATGAGCTGAGGGCCTCCAGGTCAGGAACTGCCTTGCATTTTGACCCATAGAGTCTGAGCCAGTAACCATGATGGTCATGGTCATTACAGACTTCTCTTTTGGTTTGGATGTGTCAAAATGATGTTTCTTGTCCAAATCACCACAACACTTCAAACTAGTTTGCTGCTTTTTCTGGCAAATGATAAATGAAGCTATGTGGAGTGGACAGAGGATGGAGGTCCTTGTTAGCACAGAATCTTGCTTTTGTTGCGGCTTACCTCTTTCTCTGAGCATAGATAACCAGATTCAAGGAATATGCTGCCCAGTCAAGCTTCATGACACCCTCTTAATTAATTAATTACACTGAGAACTGGCTCCTACCTACCTCTGGTTTTGGTTCTCTTGAGAAGGTCTAGCCCATGGCTCACAAAGCCCCTCAGACATAGTTTATGTCTTGCTAATAAATGTATTCAAGTCAGGCTGTGACAATCCCTAAGTAAAAGCAGTTTTACTTGCACTGCTAGATTGCTGAACTAAGCTAAAGCCAATGTAAAATGGAATTAAACTATTTTTAATATATCTATTGAGGGCTGCTCAACAGTTTAACTGCACAAATCCAACACTGATTTCAACAATGAACATTTCATAAAGAGCTTTTACATTCTTACTAACTTCTCGTGACTGTGAAAATTGCTTTGAAGATCAAGGAAATTAAGTTCACTATGTTTGTTATCGAAAAGGGTACATCTTCCAGAGAATCCTTATCAACCTGATCTCGTTGTATGCTATCTTTAAGTAATGTTATACAGTCTGCTACTTAGCTACAGTTTCCATGGCCATGAAGTCTGATGCCACAGGTGTGACGATTGGGCCATAGATAAGCCCATGACTTTGTAGAGATCAGGCAGATGGTAGCTCAGTCTGGGCTTGTACCTGCACTTCACCAACGTTGTGGGCCCTGAGAGTAGAGCATCTAACTGCAGAAAATATGCCCAAGCTTTACAAACCATGGAGTCTAGGGCATAATTTATCACACCCTAATGTAGATATCTAAAATAAACCAGAGGAATTATGCTCCAATTCTCTCCACAGAGCTTGACCATAGTCACACAAAGACGACGCTTGGTGTCAAAATGCATCTGCTGCAAATCTATAGGCACCGAACTCCCACTCTGGGACTCATTCTCCTCTCCTCTTTTTCTTTTCCCCTGGTCTGAGGTCACTTTGCAGTGATCTTTCATCTCAGCTGATCTCTTGCTGTCTGGCTTTTGAAATTAATATCCTCAGCAAATCACTCAGCTCCTGCAGAGCACATACAACACAATCAGTATAATTACTTCACGTCACACCTCAGTTGTCACTTCACTTTAATGGACTGCAAGTAAGATGAACTTGAAAAGTGCTCTAAGTTAATGTTCTTAGAGTTTCTATTTTAGACTCTTATGAAAGATGTTAAATATATTCGGAAAAAGAGATTTCATCCCAGAAATTATTATCCACATTATAGCACAGTGAACAAGGCCAACAGAGGTCAGGGCTCTGTAATTAAGAGACTGTTAAAAAACATTCAGTGTAGACAGGAAAAGGGTAGGACAGGAATGATGGGACTCATCTGGTAAGTGTAGGTGTTTCAGATGTAGAAATTTATATATCAAGTGTATACTCTGTCTATGAAGTAGCATCCAGTCATTACGGACCACAGAGCTTAGCAGACAAATCAGCCTTCTTTGAATCGGAGTTGGTGAGATTAACCTCAGGCTTCTACCACCTCATTCAGCTTTAAAGAGACATGAGGTGCCCAAAGACAGCCAGCAGACCTGTGTCACGGCTCCTAAATCTGTCTCCTACTCTCACCACCCAGGACTTCAGCATGTTTGGCTCTTTGAAATGAAGTAATTCTGCATTAGCATTTGAAGAACAACGTATTTAATATCAGAGTAGCATAATCTCTCATTTTAGGTCATTGCCTGTGTCACTTAATAATCACACACCCTTCCTCCTTCCTTTGTCACATTTCTCCCCATTGTGTTGTGCACAAGCATATCCAGAGGATATGAAATCTCATCTCTTGTACTTCTATTCCAATGCCTCAGAGAATATTTTTATCTTTTCTGCAACTAGCTCTGTAGCCATTCCTGAGAATGTAACAACTCCGTATGTTTGGAGACGAGATCTGGCTCATTTAAAATCCAGCTAGGATAAGGCTCCTTTGTTCTTCTTTTATACCATAGTCCACTTTTAGGACATTTACCAAGGCAGCGTGTCATCCAGCCCAACTCCTTCCTCTCCTCCAGGTGACTCAGATTTGCAATTTCTGCCTTTCTAGAAGGAGTCTTAGGCACCTAGCTGCTGACCAGGCTGGGCAGGAGCAGGTAAGAGCCCTGGGACAGAAGCTGGGCCCATGCAATGAGAGGTGGAACAGAAAGCACCGGGCTGCAGCCCACCCCTGGCTGGGCTCACAGCAAGCTTTTGCATGATGTATGTCGTTCGTGGTGAAGTATCAGTTACAGACAGGCAGCTCGAGTTGACAGACCATTACTGAGTGTTTTTACTCTGCTAAAGCTCATACATAGTACAAGAGCAATTTTCTTTCGTATAAAGGAGATTAAAAGCTAAACAAAAAGAACTAATGCCCCTGCAGGTTTGGATTTACACAAGCAGCACTGCTTTTAGAATTCAACCAAATTATTTTTGCCCTTAAAGTCTCTCAAAATGCCTAATAAAGTAATTTGGAAGATGAAAGTTTTTCCATTTCTAATACTTTTATCTTTTTCCCAGCACATCCAGCATTTCCTCCTCCAATGACAGTGGCGGGATGTGTGCTTCTGAACTAAATCAGCTTTGATTCCCTGTGCTGCAGAAAAGAGGCAACAACTTAAATGCAGTCCTTGTTGGTCTCTCTCCTTTTTCACTTACATGATAAAAGAGTTTCATCCGCATTTATATACTTAAGAGGCAGTGCTTTCATTACGGCCTCTCCATTAACCAGATGATTCCTTCTATCGCTCCCCACAGGCTGTGAGACCCCCCCCACTCCTATTCACTATTAGCTGGCTCTGGCCACAGAGTGAGGATGGCACAGATACTTCATACAGGATGGAAGAAGGAAGCTAAAACTTGTATGTACCTCAAAACCCAGGCACGTTCAGATACCCCAAGAAGGGAATAGCAGGATCCTTCAGGAGGAGGTGATCTCCCCTCTCTTTTAAAAATGCTGATGGTCTTCCTCAGCCATATGCATACTTTTCCAGCTGCTGGCTGTGGTGTGGCCATGATCCCAGCTAGCCCACTGCCATGACTTTCATCTCGTGGCCTAGATTTTAGCTGTTCTCCTTTCCTCAGCCAACCCATTGAACATAAGTGCCTTTATGCTGCAACATCTTTACGTGACACTTCTTGCCTAACAGTATTTTGTGAGAGGAGAAAATCCTAACCTGGTCTTGGCCAGTCTTGCTGCTCCGAGAAAAAATCCTTTTGAGTCTTTCTACCACCAGTGACCACGTGTTCCCCGTAGCAGAAGAGCCATCTTCATGTGAGAGGTTCTGTCCATAGGATGGTTTCTGCTTGCCATGATCCAGAGGCACTACAGCTGTTTGCCAGGGAAACACAGCTGCATCCCTCCCAGCCTCACCTTCCCCAACCAGCCTTTTCCAGACTGCTCCCCTTGAAGCAGGGGTTGAGGAGGAGGCAATGCTCTGTTTGGGGCACTGCTCACTTATTTGGTACCTGGACAAGCAATCCTGATCACCAGACAGTGCTGCTCTTTCACCAATTAGCTGCTCATCGGCTAAATGTTTGAGATGCCTACGCTCATCTTAAGACACTTTCCTTCCACAGCAGAAGTTGCACTTCTGCTTCAGCAACAGCTCAATTTATGAGGACACATTTGCATCTGTATCACTCACATATGCAATTCCAGCTGTTAGCATAGCAAACAAAAGAAACCCTTTGTTCCTGAAAGACTGACACTCTATGGGAAAGGGAGAGGGGACAACCACCCAGATCCTCATCATTGGGCAGAAGCCACTTCGTGGTCTCTGAGGTCCAACGAAACCTTTCAGTTCTCATCCTCTCTTCTGGCTTCAATACAAATTGGCAATTGCAGTTCAGTCCCTAGAGGGCCCTAAAGGATAATAGTCCCCGTCACAAAACAGCTGCACGTACACATTTGCCCTGATTTGATGAGACAGCCAGCTTCTATTTGGAGAAGTCACAGCAAGCAGCACAGAAGCTAGATGGCCTTCTTTTGTCCCAAGGGGAGAAGTAAATGCAATGAGGGGAAATTCTTTCTCTGAAATTCATCTGTTTGAAGCACATCTACTACAACTATCTGTGTACGTGTCCTATGTCCTGTGTCCTTGAGGTCCACCAGGTATGTGTCCACTAGACGTACTCATGGTCAGTATTTTCTATGAAAAACTTTCACAGGATTGGTTTTAACACGTTTCAAATTGCTTGGTTATTTTTAGAGATATTTTTCAAAGTGTATAGCTACTTTTTAGAGAAAAAAATGCAACATGTTTTGTTTCTTGTTTGGTTCCTTTTCTTGATTGATTTTTCTTCGATTCATTTGCTGAAATAAAAAACATATTTCAAGTCGATAGAATTAACAAAAGCAGATGGAGAACTGTGTTGCCATACAGGAATGGAGAAATGAAATGACATGAAAGAATTATTTAAGGTATATATCTTTATAGAGGCACCAGTGCACAGCCCATACCTGTTTTCAAGCACAGCTTGCTTTCTTCCCTGTTCATTTTTAATGAACTGTTCATATTTGTACTGACAGTGGCTAACACTGCTGTGGAGAAATCAGACTAATGCATTGTCTACACTGCTGTGCCTCAGAAGATGTCTTTTTAATTGCTAAGGCTCAGGAATTAAACAAGAAAATAAATCACAATTATGGCTAATAAGTCTTTATTTCCAAACAGAAACCGCAAAAAAAAATGTTCTATTACAGAACAGGTAACAAGTGCAGAATTCTAAGTATGCAGTGTAACAGAAACCATTGCCTCCTCGACAAAAAATCATTAGGCACTTAAAACATGAAAACAAAGTATAAATTAGGTCAGCTAACAGATGACTCAACAATACAACTTCATCTCGGTTTTCTGTAATAAAAGCACACACACGCTTGAGGGGCTTTCCTTGCCTCCTCCTAAATCCTGCGCAGACACATCTATGGGAGGCTGCACACGTGCTACTCATGTGCGGACAGACAACATCGAGTTCACATCAGAAGACATAAATAAGTTCAGCACTGAGAGAATTTGAGGGAACCTTTTTGGAAAGAGCAGCTGCAGAGCAGCTTCACGCAGAGTTTGGCCCTCGCGGAACACAACCACACCAGCTCCAGGAAAGCTCTGCTTGGACCACACTGCATTGAGAACACGGGGCCAGAAGTGAGCACAACGCACCTTTGGAGAGACCATGAAACCTCTGGGCACAAGCTATTGGGGAAACTCTGTGAAATTACATCTTGACACATGGAACAGTCTCTGAAAAGAAGAAAACGTGCATTTGGCATCCCTTAGCAAAAGTCCCAAGCAGAACCTCTTCATCCATCTATTTTCTTGTATTTCTTGACCTAAACCAGCAGCAGAAGTGGCCTCTTAGCCCTGCCTTAGGAAGGCAAATCCAAGAAGCAGCTGTCCCAAAAATTCCCTTCTAGAAATCAGTCAGATACCCTCAGAAATGACTTTGGGTTGTATCACTGTTATTTTAGGTGGCATTATGCAACTTTCCCTGTAGCTTACTCTGGTAGAATAAAACACAATGAATATTTTAAAATAATTTTAATTCAATACCTGAAGAAAAGAACATTACGAATATTAACATAAAGAACACATCTGAAGCTGCTATATAAAATGTGCATATAAAACAAGCAGAAATTTGAGCTACTACACTTCAGTTTCACAACAGTCTAAGACCGATTCCGTACCATAAGCTCTAAAAATAAATGCACTAAGAAGTAGAAAGAGGATTTTTAGGGAATCACCTCACCGCTAAGCCTAGAGCTGAGAAACCTAGCAGGCTGCTGAACCACAGGCTTGCTGTGAAGGATCTCCTCTTGTCAGGGACTGAAGTGAATGGTGAGGAATTAGAAACCCGTAATCTTGTCTTACACTAGGATATCCCGTCCCAACCATTAGCATTACTCATTCTGATAGCCTCTTGCCATAGTACCATGAATTGATGGTGGGATGATGAAAATACTTCCATTACTCAGCTTTCTGAGCTGTCTCCCGCTGTGGAGAAAAGCAGGATGAGAGAAATAAAAGACAAAACAGCACTAGGTGCAGCAATTTATGTGGCACACTGTATTGCTGGTGCTGCCTCAGAATTTAGCAAAAGACAGGCTTGACTAGTTACTGGAAGGCAATGTGAGGATGCCATTCCTTCTTGGATTTAACAAGGAATGAGAAGTTCCAGCAGTTCTAGTATTTGAATTAAGAAACACATTCGGAGTGTTTTCATCCTTAGATCGGTATTTGCAACAGTGGCCACTGAAGGGCAGTTATTTCTCACCCACAAAAGGATGTTAATTCAGCAAATTCTCATACATCACAATAATTTTAGTTCATTTCCCTCGTGATGGGGTCCATGGGACAGGAAGCTGCTCTGAAAGGTGACGTTACAGAGACCACTAAATAACCACACCAGTTCCTCTGCTTAGTGGTATGCTGCAGATCTTCTAATGCTCTGCTTGACACATTATTGTAATTTAGAGCCAATTAAGAAATACTTAATATGAGCCTCATGAAGATCCAGAACAAAAGCTTAGCAGTAATAAATTTGCCCACTCATTGTGCCCTGTAGCTGAAAGCCTCAAATGATTCCTTCGGAGTATCCCAAGAGAGCAGCCTGTGAAACTGTCTGTCCAGAAATGTGGAGAAGGAGGATTTTCCTGCCTAAAATGAGAGAATCTGAAACCAAGAGAGCCAGGTTTGATGTGGTAATAACACAACCCTTTGTCACTACTCTGGGCGAGCAGACCCAGAGAGGAGAGGGAGAGACTGGCTGCAGGAATATTGCAAGATAAAGGATTACCTGGCTGTCAATACTTCAGCTAAGGTATATCTAACCAGCCAGCTCATGTGGAAGAAGTTTACTGCTTCAAAGTACCACAGCACCCTGCTCTCTGCAGGTGTTGTATGAGACGCTGGGCTGAGCAGAGGCTGAGAGCCCAGGTGTGCTGAATTGCGTGCAAGTTTGTGCAAGCTTAGCAGTGAAGTGAGAATACTATTTCCAGTCAAAGCCTTCACTTACGGTTATCATTTCTGATCCTGGTGATGGTGGGCAGCTTGTTAAAATGACTGAATTGGGAAAGGGAGAAAAGGGCAGCAACAATCATGGAATCATCTAGGTTGGAAGAGACCTCCAAGATCACCGAGCCCAACCTCTGACCTGACGCTAACAAGTCCTCCACTAAACCATATCCCTAATCAACAAGTGCAGGTACCCAGAGCCCTCAAGTCCCCCCTGTCCCTGAGAGCAGAGACAGGCCCCAGCCCTGCCCCCGAGGTCCCCAGCGGTGTCACCTCCACAACTTGACGTAGGCTTCGTCAGGCAGCCGGGCCCATCCAAGAGCCATCAGATACCAGAAGGGCATTGCTGCATCCCTACATTCCCACCTGCCTGGTCTCACCCCTCCTTTGGGGTGACTGCAATTCCCCTGGCTCTGTTGGCATGAGCCAGTTTTCTCCTTTTGGCGCCACGTTATATTTTTGCCATCTCGGTGTGCCGCAGGGGTCAGTGTGGGAGCAGACAGGCACCACAGACAGCACGAAGGAAGGGGACTCGACCCCATTGCCAGCCACCACAGCTGAAGTCACCGCAGAGCTACAGCCCAAATTTAGCACCTCAGTGTGAACATTGCTGCCTTCCCGGAGACTGCACACCAAGCCATCTTAGGGGTGTTTTACTATGCTGCAAGCGCAGCAGCATTTGATTCACAGCCACAGAGGCTCAGTGACAGACACCAGACAGAACCACGTAACGCCCCCGAGGAGAAAGAAGTAACTAACTCCGGGCAGCGCCGGATCCTACAAGAAAATGCAGCACTAAAGGAGAAAAGGGAACAAAAGCAGATGAGCGGGCTTTAATCTAAGGATGCCGTGACCCAGTCATGTGCAAGGACACTGTCAGCCCCTGCAAAGGTACAGTGGAAGTATTAGCACATTGTCAGGGCTTCTATCTTTAGAAAACTATTTAATCTCTGTATTCACTCCGCAGCGTGTGACAGCACTGGAGGCCCACAAACCCGAGGAATGATTACTCCTCATACGAAGCAGAGGGAGCTGAGAGGCCCTTCCTAACCTCTGGTCAAGAGTCCTTAATCAAAACCGCACTTGGCTTGGTCTTGCAAAAGCATCATAAACATTCCCAGCCAGGTACCAAATCCATTTACTCATCGTTAACCTGGCACAGATGTGCACTAAACGAGAAATAATTTATTCAGCTGTCAGAGAAAGCATCCTTTACCACAGTGACTGTAATTCGGTGAGTCTTGATTAATCTGACTGTACTCTGCCACCCAGAAATGCTGCTATTAGCTCGCCTGGCCTCTGCACAAATTAAGCAGGACCAGCCACAAAGCACACGGCAGCAGCAGTGGCACCAAAACCAAGGGTGAGCACTGCGCTCCGGTGATGTGGAGTGGATGCGACCAACATCACGTAATGGCCTCGTGTCTGGAGCATGGCCTGAGAAAGCTACATTAAAGATAATGTCTTAATCTAGAGTCTAACAGACTGCATTTTTATACTGCGGGGGAGTTAAGAGTGTTTGCAGGAAAGGGTAGGAAAGGTTAACAATCCCTCCACACATTTCTTGTCAGTCTTGTGCTCCACATAAATGGCTGAGAGCTCTGAGAGCATCAAGGAGCAGGTCTTCAGGTCAGTGGCAAGTGCAGACTTCCCTGAAGGCACTGAAAAGTCAAAGTGTCTGTCTGTGTTACAGAACTTTGCCCCCATTTGTGCTGATCCATTAAACCCTTCAGTTTAGCCCTGTTTTGTCAAGGGAACTAGAATGGTTTTCTTCTTTTCAGCTACATTTCTCTTAAAATATATTCCAATAAACTTTCTCATTACTAATATATGTGTGTTATAAATAACATAGCTGCATAGAAATAGCCCAGACACACAGTAACTTCAGCTCTGTGGTGTGTCATAGCACACAGCACACATTTATTCACTGACATCAGGTAATATGGTGCTATCCAACACAGAAAGTGGCTTCTCCACTTCTCTACTAACACAAAACCACAAAACCAGGCTTTGCACTTTACTCATGCTGGCTACAGGGCTGAGTGGGCTTGCAGCCCCTCTCCTGCCACGCTGGGTACTGCTTCTACTCCCATGCAAAGCACAGGGAGAGTCTCGGGCCATAGAGACTGGTCTGGGGTCTACTGTGACTGCCTAGCTGCAGTCATGACAGCCACATGACTAAACTGGGGCTCTGACAGGTGCTGCTTACAGCTTGCATAAAAATTTCATGCCCTGCAGCTACAGGTGTCAACCAGCAGATCTCAAAGGAAATGGAGCTCTTACCTGGGCACAAGGTCTGCACTGGTAAATGCGGCAAGAAAGTCTCGAGGACTGAGGCCAGCTGTACATCTGTGGTAGCAAACCCTCCTTGCCTTGAAACAGAACAGTAATTTCAACCCCAAAACTCTTTATAGGGACAGTCCAATCCCAAACTCTATTGCATACATGGCACTGATCTCTCCCTGCACTGAGCTCAGAGGTGGAGCCAGCCAGGATGGAAGAAAATAAGGGGAAGGAATAAATATCACCTGTGGAGCCTTTTGAGATAATGATCCACAGGCTGAACAGAACTCAGCAAGGAGGAAAAGCTACACAGCCAAGATCATCTCATTGCTCTGCACTAGGTGAGGGTAAGCTACAGTCCTTGCCTGAACACTGGTATGTCTTTGACTCCTGGAGGAAATACGAGGTGGCTCTCAACCAAGGCTATTTGCATCACGCAAAGCACATCACTTTGCACAGCTCCAGTTACCAACACTCAGTAGAGTCCACACGAGTGATTTATGGCAAAGAGGAGTTCTTGGAGAAAACTGGTCTTTTATTTGTCTTCTCCAGATTTTGTCTTGGAGCAAATTTGGATGGAGCAAATTTGTCTTTTACCTCTTAATTGGGGTCTTGCAGTAGGCAATCATCCACCACACTTGTAAAGTGGATGCGAGGTCTTACAGCAGCCAGCTCTCTGCACAAGTGACAGATGCCTGTGGCCAGAAACTGGCACAAATTTCACTGCTACTGAGGACAAAATGTGGACGTGTGGTGCTGGAACCGTAACAGATCACAGTGAATCAAACCCTTGTGCTCGCCTTTTTCAGTCACCAGCTGGTAACACAGCTGTACCAGCGACTCAATTATGACATCTTTGTTTCTGCTAAAAGCCCTACTGATATTCAGAGGTCCACTTGTGTATTAGTGGGGTACCATTAGATTCTGATAGCATTATCTTGGAAATGGATCAAAATGCTGGATATTTCTCAGCTAACAGAACTGGAACAATAACGATTGATTCTAATGCTTTTAGGATTATTTCTGTGATTATAAAACTGCTGCAAGGTAAGCTTTCAAATATTGCATCAATATAGAAATGCTCTGATAAGGTATCAGCCTAAAAATATATTCTATAAGGTTCAATACATTTAAGTAGTTGTGTTTGTTTGTTTGTTTGTTTTTGTTTTTTGGGGGGAGGGAGAAAAATAATCCTCAATGAGTGGAAAATTGAATGCTCTGTAAACTTGGGGATTTAGTGCTACTGTGGTAAAATGAGTTTTTTTTAGTAAAGATAGTACCTGACAGTATCCAACTGTAAAAGGACAGGAAGGACACTTTATCTTTGAACTGATCATTGAGTCTCAAAAAAACCACTGAAACTCTTCTTGTAACAGAAACAGGTTACCACTTTTTTTTTTTTCCACTGCAGTAAAAAATATAAGCAGAAATCTAAAAGCTGCTACAGCTAGGGGAACAACTGCCTTGTTGTAGCGCCCATAAATGTTAATGTGATCCTTTATTTCACTTTTGCTTTTCGCAGGATGTTGCTCCACTGGACCATATGGAAACTTTAAGCACAAGAACTGCACGGGGTTTGAATTAAGTAACCGTAATTTTCTTTCTTATATGTCCTGGTACAGGAGTTGGCTCTAAAGGGAACACTCTTCTAATAATGCTCAATGCAGTTTCTTTATCTGTGGTCACATAGAGAAAGGTGTTATGCTAGGTGGAAAAAACCAGGAAAACTGCTGGGGCTGGTACAGATCATTTTTCTCGTGAATGGTCCATCTCGTGTGTCAGCAGAGATAGAGATCTGGGATTGCAGGAGTGTGTGCAAAGTCATGCCCTAGCAGGACTCTGGGGACTGCAGCATGAAACCTGGTTTATTGTCCTCATTTGGAGCTGAGCTGGACCTTAGACAGAAACCGAAGCAGGAAGAGGGGTTTGAAAATAATTACACATCTCTGGTCCTTCACACAGTTGTTCACAAAATTAACATCATTCACATGAGTGATCCCATTAAACCCACAGCATTATCTATTGGCCACAAAATTAAAGCACATAAACTATTTGACTATCTCTAACCTGAGGAACTTTTTAAATTTGTGCTCCCAGGGACAAACTAAGACTGACTTAGCTCTGAATTAAGTACTCCACCATTGCTCTTCTCATCACCTTTGTCATGTAGACAAATGCTAGCCTTTATAGGATCAAGTTCTTAATTGTAAGTGTTCACTGCCAACTCACGGAGCTACCATACAGAGACTGTTGCCTGTATTATGGGATAGTAACAAAATCGGAGATCTTACATCAAAATATTTTAATAGTGCTTTAAGAAGCAAAACATGATGAACGTCACATATTGCCACCATCCTGAGATTGTGCTTTGCTACAATTAAAACAAAAGGAAGGAGTTTCATAATTTACCAGATAAATGCTATTTTGTATTAAAAAAAAAAAAAGATTACTCAAGATTCAGAAATGTAGCAGTCCATGTGTGAAAAATCACTTTCTTTTCTCCCCAAGTGTAAACTATTTCTCTATTGTAATAATGCAGTTTAATGCTCACGAAATCACATCGGATCAAATCCAACACCAAGCTGCTGAGATACACAAATTGTCTCCTTAGCATCATCACCCTGGAATTAAAACAATAAAACATGTTACTGATGTTACTGGTACAGTAGGAAAATCACTTGTTATATTCCAAATCAACCGATAGTTTGGTCCTCTGTGTGTATTCATTTCACCTTCTGCATGTGCTTTTTCAACCTTATTTCAAGCTGGAAGTCGGTGACATTTATTATACAGTCCTACAGGCTCACAGAATTCTCCTGGGTAAGCTGGGCTCTTAGTGCCTGACCTAGCCTGAGCATCTGCTCTCTGTAAAGGGGGACTGCTTCGTTTTAATACCCCCAGAACTGCTCCCACTTACCCCACCTGTACTGCCCTCTTCAGCCTTCCTAAGCCGAACAAGGCTGGGCGTAAACACATCCACTGAAAATCTGAATATGGGTGAATTAAATTAGCTTAATCATATTTTGCAATAGCTAGAGAATGAAATTATTCTGCTTCTTCAACAGGCCAGTTCTGCTGTGGAAAAAACAAAACAAATCCCTCATAAATCTGTAAAGATTTTTTTTTTTCATTTGATTTAAAACCTAATTTAAATTCTAATCTGATTTAACCTAAATTTTTCTATTCTGGTGGGTTTTAACTGAATAGAAGCAACTTATCTCCACTGGTTTCATTGCTGACATTATTCTTAACACTTAAACTTAGCTCAGTGGCTGAACGCATGAGCCAAGTGTGTACTTCAGAGCTACACCGCATGGCTACTAAAGCAGAAGATCTTTCTTTCAACATTGCACACATCTCGTAATTTCACGCTGGATAATATTTTCCCAAGTCAAGGATAGGCTGAAATTCGGCTGCCTGACAGGAATCCAAAGGGGTCCTTATTTTCAAAACGTGCTATCATTTTCCTCACAGTAATTAGAAGTAAATTGTAGCTCATATTGCTCCAACTACACTGAGACACCACAAGGATAACAGAATTCCAGTAGAATTCAAGCTCGTGTAGGTATCCTACCATTATAAATAGGTTATTTATAACAATTATATTTATAAATAGGTTATTTGTAGCAGTATCTATAACTTAGTTGGATTTCCAGCAGCTTTCAGTATTAAAAACCCATCACATGCTGGCAGTTTGGAACAACAGCAGCCCCCTGCTCTACTTGATGCTGCCCAGCCAGCTCCACCTGGACTGGAAGGCTGCACTGCTTCTCCCTCTGTCAAAAATAGACAGCTTTTAATCATCTGCTTGGAATGGAAAAGCCTAGAGCCAATTTTTACTTTCCAGGTAACATGCACTCACTCAGCAGTTCTTACTCTAACCTCCAGCTCCTCTCGGCTCAACCTTTCCTCCCTCAGCGCCTTCTGCTTGGACGACTGAGCGCTGTTCTCTTCCCCAGGCTCAGAGAGTCTCAGTTTCATTCTTACTTGCTGTGTTTTGTTTTTTTTTTTTTTTCTGTTGATTGACTCCTCTGAGCAGCTGCTTAATGCTGCTGTGCTGTATGTCAAAGCAACACATACTCTCCTTCCCTGCTGTCTCTTTCGAGCATGCGGAAAAACTGATGGTTCCTTGGTCAGACAGTATTTGCATTTTAACCAGGCTTCTGAGCAATCAGGTTTTTTGCCAGTCTGATTAATTTATCATCTCACAATTTTTCTAATCAGATATTTCTCTCTATTTTTAAATAGGAATCAGGCCAATTCCCCTCCTTGAGCCTATGTTTACTTGAAGCTAATAACACACCCTTCAGGCTTATCAGGTTAAAGCAGTGAACAAACAAGACTTCCTTCAGCTGCAGGGCCACAGCAAAAATGATTTTATAATTTAATACAAAATAATCAAGTTCATTATTTTAATTACATTTCAAGATTTTGCTGATGTCTCCTTTCCCAGCTTACCATGTGTGATAGGTAGGCATCTGCTTTAGTGAAGACGGGTGTATCTGTTGAGCATAATCATAAGGGTGCATGAGTGGCTAATGTAAGGCTGATGGAGTTTCCACAGTGATCTACAGGACTCTGGTGCCTGACAATCCCCTCTACCCAACAAAGTTCAACTCTGCAATGGCAAGGGTGGCGTTTAGGAGCGACAGGGCTGAAATGGTTCATTGGGATGCAGGTATGCTCTGCTCTCCCGGTAGTGTTCTGGCACCTGCTCCCTGCTTGGGACACAAAACAGCTTCGCTCACTTCTTGTTTAGAGCAGCAGACTTGTGCTCCGGGAATGTGTGAGGGAAATTCTGCCTGAGACTTTTGGGGACACCCAGTGATATAGGGAACCTGCAGCTACCCACTAACAGGGAAGAGCGGGGAGCAGGGAGAAGAACGTCAAAGGGAAATTGAAAAGAGAAATTAGATTGTTCAATTTTTAGAAAAGGTCATCTCTGGCAAAACATACTCATTAGAGAATTTCAATTATCTCTAATAGTTGATAATAGCAGCAGAATGGTAGCTCATACTAAAAGCATTAAATTTCTATTTTTTTTAGGGACTAACTTTTCTCTTTGTAAATAGAAGTGATTAACGTAGTGGAGAAAAAAATTAGGGCAGTACAACGTATCCTTCTGGTTGCTTTTTCCTTTACAGTTTATTTCATAAATTTGGCCGCAGAAGTCATTTTCAGCCTGCAAAGCGTGGACAGCATTTAATTAACCTATACAGATGCTTAAACATTTTTGTGGCTGCTAGCTGCTTTTCTCTAGATGAAAAATTCATAAGGAGCTGCCTTCCATTTTCTTAGCTGGTGTAGTTACTACAATTAAAATTACATGGTATGTCTCCAGCGATTTATAGGATTTATACTGTAGGAAGAATAAATACAATGCAGGAATGTAAACAGCTTGGCCACTACGAAAAATGCATTATGTATTTCTTAAACTACATCATGCTGCAACTTTTGACGAGTGAAAAAGCTTACCTTAGCAGCATGAAACTGCATACACACACACCTCCTTTTAGGTAACCTCCTGCCATGGGCTACTAATGAGAACGGATTTACTAGACAGCTTCTAGGTCCCTTCTAGCCTGCTTTATATTATGCTAATAATACATGAAAGCAGTTTGTTTTTCTATTTCTTTGAAGAATCTGAATAAGATTGTGCCTTCTTGGTGTTAGCTATCTGTTAGCTTAAAACTTAGAATCATAGAATCATAGAATATCCTGAGTTGGAAGGGACCCTTAAGGATCATCAAGTCCAACTCTTGACACCGCACAGGTCTACCCAAAAGTTCAGACCATGAACTTAGCAGCCTCTGACTATGAACCAACTGTGAATGCATCTTTGACAGCACGTTTTCTAAAGAGCACAAAGGGTACCTTAAAATACATTTAATAATTTAGTCAGAAGAAAGCCCTTAGCTTTCAAACTTAAAATTTCCAGCTAAAGCAATCTGATGCTATTTTAATTTATTTAATTAGAAATACAGTCGTAAGATTACATCACTCCGAATAAAACATATTGCATACAGCGGTAGTTCTGCTGTACAGTTTGCTTACTGCTATATTAGCTTGGGTTCAAGTTAAAAAAAAAAAATGAAGTTAAGTTAAAAAAAACTTGGTTGTATGGAAGGCAAATCTGACAACAGTATTCTGAGCTGGGGAATTTCTCGGTTAGCTAAGAGGATGAAGAAGTACGGGCACTGGCTGTCCAGGGCAGTGGTCACAGCCCCACACCTGCCAGAGTTCAAGAAGTGTTTGGACAACACTCAGACATACGGTCCGATTTTTGGGTGGTCCTTGCTGTGTGGAGCCAGGAGTAGGACTCAGTGATCCTTTTGGACCCTTTCCAAATTGGGAGATTTTATGTTCTATTCTAAGTATCTGTACAAATGGGTCTTCTTTTGTCAACAGGGCAAATTAAGATTGAAAACATGCAGACAAATCTTTTCAAAGTCATCTGTAATCTTTATGCAGTAAATTGGCTCAAGGTCAGGGGCCAGACTGCGTGCGGCATTTCTTTAAGGCAATACACAGAAGGTAGAGGTCCAAGGGGGATGGGACAGTTAGAAAGAACAGAAAGGGAATGACACTTCATCCTATATTTGTAACTTCCAGATTTGGAGCTGCCTCAAGGTAAAATGCTCAGCAGGATCTGCTACAGTGCATGGCAGCCTCTTCGCTGCTGTCCACAAGCTGTTCTGCAGCCCAGGGCTGACAGCACACTGCTCTCAACATCTCCTTCCCTAACAAGAGGGTACCAGAGTGCATATGCATGCTACTCCTTCATCGCAATCCTTATTTTGTCCTCTGTATAGACCTGGGAAGGCTGTGTTTGGATTAGACATCTTCTCTTGTAGAGTATTGTATGTGACTGACTTAAATAAAGAGATTCACAACGGAGGCTGGTTCACTGATACCAAACCAAACAGGTTGGTGGAGACATGTATCTGACATGAGGAGACACTGCTGATTGGCTGTGAATTGTGGTGATAATGTGTATTTAGTTACGCTCATAATCTAAAGTTCACTATTAGGAAGCATTTCTCAACTCTGCAATACATTAAATGTTTTCAGAAAATTCCAATCTTCCTCTTATTTATGAACACAGCATCCATTGACAACTGTAAGGTGTTTTTAAGGAAGAATAGACCCAAACCATTTGCAAAACAAGTTTTCCTTTGACTCAGTGCTTAAATAAGGACATTTTATGTGATAAGAATGTGACCTACCTTTTTAGTCTGATTCACATTTACCAAACTGCAACTTCAAAATGCCTTTGCCATGAAGCTGAAGGATCTGGTTGTATTCTTTGGGCATTGCATGGAAACCTGGTTTAGGCAGCTGGTTGTCGTAATAGTGGTGGCTGATTGGCATCTTCTCTGTGGATTTTGAGAAAGGCCAGAAGCCATAAAGCTTCACATTCTCACACAGCTCAAGAGCAGCACTAGTGATCATAAAACCAGATGACAAACGATAGGCTTTCACACCCTTAGTTCTCCAGAACTGGGCAAGACTTTTCAGATAGGTGGGGTGAAAAAATATTGCCCTTTGGGTTGCTTTGAACTCTTGCAGAGTGTGATAGACTTTAAAAGAAGTGGCTGTGTTGCTTCTGAAGGAAAAGGCTGGTAATAAGAGGAAAGCATCTCCATAGACCGCAATGTTCTCCACAAATTCTGTCTTCTTTTCATTTAGTTTGTTGTATCTGCCAAGTACAACGTTTTAGGAAAAGAGTGAATGGAATGTACTCCTGCCATAAATACATTACAGAACAAGACAGTACAACAGTACTTGCATATATGAGCTGTGAACTCTGCTGCACCAGTTAAGCCTGTCTACATTGCAGATTTATACCAACCTGTTAGATGTCGTCATACGTGCTGTTATGAAAATCTGGCTTTATTGTATAATAAGAGTGCAATTCGTAGGATTGATTTGGCAACACAGGAGTTACTGGAGAAAATCAAATTTACTGTTAATGTGACCAGGACCTGTTTATAGAAATGATTTATTCAAGAAATTTCAAAGGAGAATGGAAAAAAAGAAATTGTATTTATACTTTCTCTGTGTAAGAATACAGGCACAATGGTATCTACTGCATGTATTTGTGAAAAATGTTTCTGCCATCAACACGCATAAAATAACCCCTCTTCAAATCCTGGCTGTCTGCCCTTTGTGGAAATACGATTATGCATGTAGGCAGTCTTGGAGCATTAAAGGTTAGTGTGTGCTAAAGTTTTGCAGGGTCTTAGCTGCTTTTGACATGCTTTTAAAATAGCTGAAAATATAGGCGTATCTGTCTCCTTTGACAACAAAGGGAACACACATGGGGTTCTGTAAAGACTTAGGGGTGTAACTTCGTAAATGAAGAGGATTTATACACAGTTGCTTCAGTTCCCCAACAGCCAGCAAAGGAACTTATTTCTCGGCGTTGGATAATGCAGTGTTCCCAAATATCAAATAGGGAACTTTACAGCATGAAACAACACACAAGGGAGTCACTCAGTTCATTTCCTTTGTAGATCTTAGTTGTTTGAATGCCCTGAACATATGGCATTTGCGCCCCCCTTGGGATTCAAAGCAGAGTCCTCTTTTGTTGGTGGCTGATCACCTGAGCAGTGTGCTTTCACCTTTTTTTTTTTTTGGCTACCAGAACTCACTGTTCACAAATGGCTCCAGCAAAAAATGGAAAACCTGGTTTCATTTCTCTTTGCAACTTGAGCAGGTTCAAACCCTCTTCTCATGCAGCACTTCAAGACAGAGGACAGCAGCCACTGCCATTTCCATTCAAAACTCTCCCTGCTGGAGTAGTTATCAGGTGCCTCTGGCACAACTGAACTCATGCAAGCAGTGACACACCCCCTCTGTCTGAAGGCATTTAAACTTACAGCTTCTGCTTCCCAGAAAAGTGCCATTACCACCAGGCTCTGAAACAGAACGAATGAGAGACTCTCTGCCTCTCCTGTTAAACCTGGGGCCCTGTGAATCCAAGAGGCACAGAGAGAAAGCAAGCAAGTCCTGAGCTACGTTTAGGAAGTCCTACGGCTAGGATAAGTGGCCAAAGGTAAACTTCTGCCCTCTACTACCAGAATCATCTTTGCTTCTACTCAGTGTAAAATGCATAAAAGACCTTCAGGACAGAATCTAGATGTCTGTTCCTCCTGCTTAGCTAAAAGCCTGAACAACCCAGTCTTGTCTTGCTATGGTAAGGTGCAGCACAGCGCAGCTCCGTTGGGACATGTAAGAATTGTGCTCTTTCCTCCAAGAAAGTCTGTCTGCATCATATACCCTGTCAGACACCATTCATAAGGTGATTACCTTAGCAGTAGTAACATCAGATTAACCCAGCACCCAAACACAGCATTAGAAATTAAAGTGAATGAAGTTACTTCCCTCTCCTCCTTCAAAAGCATTCAGTCTTCTCTGAATATTTAAATAATTATTCTTTACAAACCCTAAAGTCTTCCCATAATCTCATTTCATCCTCAAACAGGTTTAATTCCTATTACTCTCAGTGTAGGTGCTATCAGTTCTGGTGTGGTTTAATTTGGCTAAAACTGAGTGTAGCTATGGCAGGGCACTATGATCAAGCCCAGAGGAATCACGCATCATGCCAGCAGTCACCAGTGAAGCTAAGTCACTGCACAAAGTTTTCCTTTCTCTTATTCTTGTGCACGCCCAATAACATCAATGAGCTATATCTATTATAGGGGAAGCAAAAATTCATCTTCATTTAAATTTAAATTTTGCTTTGGGTAAGCATCAAAGCAGTTAGTGCTCATTACAAAAAATCAAGTTCTGTCCTAAATCAATGACAAATGCCTGTTAGTCATTTCTATGCTTACTATGTTTACTGTACCTTTCCTTCTGGCTTTTAAGGAAAAAAAAAGCTTTGCCTGATGTTGTCTATTTGACAAATACAGATATGACAGACAATAAGATAAAGTAAGATCAGTAAGGAGTAAATAACATGCCACAGCAGTCCTTTTCATAGATAAGCTGCAGCTCCAGACTGCTGAAGATGCCAGATTAGTCAGCCTGGTCTTATTAGATTTTCTTTTCATAAAGGAAGTTAAAAAAATATTTTCTGAGAAAAAAAGGTGTGGCCAGCTTTTATACAAAGAAAAAAGAAAAAAAAAGAGAGAGAGGGAGAGAAAACAGATTAGAGAAAATGGGTCTCTGTTTAGGAAATACCCTTAACCAGAACAGCCCCTTAGAACATTAACTAGTAACATGTTTACAGTCCAACTGATAGAGTTGGAAGTATAGATTGATGCCAATCAAAAACCTTGCTAAACTGGGGATATTGCTGGCTCCTTTCTACTACAAAAGGCCAGGTTTTACAGATTTCCATTTAGAATGGTGCATATTTTACATGAGAACTAAAGCTCATTAATGGGGTAATCTGTATGCACTGCTCTCTGTGAAGGTATCCCAATGGATTTTTAACAAAAACTAAATCATGTCAAACAATTACGCGATATTGCACAGAATCAGAATTACAGTATTACTTACTTCTGAGCTATGATACTTGGATTAACAGTCACAAGGTTTGTTTTATTGCCAACATCTTTGCTAATGCTTCCTGTAGTTGGAGGGAGGTTACACCTGAAATCAAGAAACACTTATTTAAACAGATGCCCACCAGAAATGCTTTGCAGTAGTTACTTGCAAATTCCTCTCTTGTGCAATGACACTTTCATGTCAGCTCTCAGGGATCTCTAAGCACTTTACAAATATTAAATAAGGCTTAGAGCACTTCTGGTAAAAATATTTAATCTACTGTACAGATGGTTAAAATAGGGCACAGAGAGCTCATTTTCATAAATCACCTCACAAATCAGAGGCGAAGTCAAAATCCCATAAGGAGCCAGTCTGTGAATGCCCTATGTTAGCTGCTAGAAAACATTGCACTTCTTGCCTAAACAATGCATTTCATCTGAAAAGTCTTCTATTATTTCCTGTTTTAAAAGATTAATCAATCTTTTAAAAGATACCAACCCCTCAGTCATCAACACTGATGGCTGTTTCATGAGACAACAGCAGCGTAACTCACCCAACTGCAGAAACAGTGGTTTCTGTTATAAGGTAAAGAAGGTATTTTTTTAAAGCCAGGTATTTAGGTTTAGCATCTTAGTATGCAGAATTCCCATCTGTATTAAAATCAGTTATCTAATTAGATTTTTTTTTTATTATCATTTGAAAAGCCCATATATGACTCAACGACAGGAAAATGAACAATATCTGGGAGACCGTGTGATCGGACATCACTGAGTGATGAAAATTCACTTGGTTAATCTCCGTACTTGCAGAAGCAACAACCCATGACTTGCACTGAAAGAGTGGGTCAAATTATGCTCTGAGTGTGCCTATTTATCACCACACTCTATAGAGGGACTGGAAAAAAGTACTTAAATTAGACGTCTAATTTTTTAGATTGATAACAGAAGGTGAGACAATACTGGGGCAGTTAAATAACTGCATTAGTGAGACAACCTAAGGCTAAGTAAACCCATTGAAAGCCCAGGGGCAAAAGTGAACATGATATTTAACACCAGTCTTTCTTGTTTCAATTTCATTTTTTTTCATTCTCTTCTCCTGATTAAAAAAAAAAAAAAAAGAGAAAGAAAAAAAGAGTTCTCTGTCCCTAAGGGTGTTAAATGAAAAGAAATTTCAGTTTCTTAGATAATGAAATTTCACATCACTGGCAAGGTATCTTTATAATCATGGATTATACATCTATCCACATAGTCCTTTCTTCACTTAGGAAGCAGAGTCCTGAAATCTACAAAGCAGAAAGAGTATCTTTTGAGAGGCAGAAGATCTTTCCTCCTTGATACAAACTGGCATTGGCATGCTTCCAAGCCTGCCAAGCTTGTAGAAATGTTCAACACTCTTCAGTGAGATGAAGCAGCTCTTACCTAAACACAAAGTCAGAACGATCGATTTCAGCTCCACAGCTGGAATTTTTCAGAATGCCTCCATTTCCAACCACTGCGCAGTTCTTGAAGGGATAAACCGAGAGAGGAGGAGACTGCAAACAAGTAAAAAGACACAGCATATGCTTTATAAATCTTTTATTTCTTTGAATCTTCAGTCATTTGTCCTTGCAGGCTTAATCCCGTAAATCCCAGTGAAAGCGTTCACCATTTAGCAGACGTTGTTGCCTGGCACGGACAGCCAAGAGCCAAAAATAGGCCCCAACAGACTGAGGACTGTTACTTCTGTCTTCAGTATTTTGAGAGTAATATTGGATGAATACATTTTAAATTTGCAAAATGAAAAAATATCTAGTAATGGAGTGAATTCTTGACAAACTGAAGAACTAACTCTTACTGCAGATAGTTTAAACTCACCCCTTTTCCTTTGCACTGCACCGGGCTGAGTTGTCACAGAGTCACTGTGTCAGCTTACAGAAAATAACTTTGTGAATACTCATTGCTCCGTTATAGCTCAATTATATTTGAGGTAAAATAATGAAGACAGGGGAACCTGAAGATGCTGCAAGGGATAGGCATGTGCCCTGGCTTAGCTCATGGTGAATCTGGCAACTGAAGTAGTTACTGCCTCTGGCTGTTCACCTTCTCTCTTCCTCTTCTTGTTAGAGGTTGCTGTCTTGCAGTGGGGAAGCTGAATGAGAGCAAAGTACGTCCACTTGTGAACCAGCACAGATCACAACCTAGCAAATTAATGAAACTTGTTGGCTGTTTCAGTTGACAATATAGTTGGCTCTTATCCCAGGGTCTCAGAAACATCTCATACATCTCATTCAGTCTCTCCTGCTGTGGGAGCACTGGCATTCAACAGAGAGGCCAACAGCTGGGCTACTTCAGCTGCAGAAACTGAACCTCCTTGTAAAACTGAGTCAAAACTTGCTTACAGAAATCATTATCCTTCCTCATTTTCTCATCAGCTTGCTCAAAGAAAAGCAGGAGGGAGCACCATTATGAACAAGGAAAAAAAGAGTGGGGAAAGTGGCAGATGTCATGCTGCCTACCAAAATATCAAAACAACATGTTCAAATACTTTGTTCAGCTCTGAAAAGGCACCAGGAGAACACACAGGCCAGATACCTCTGGTTAGCCTAGCAGGTATATATATGCACAAAAAAAACCCTACATTTTTCTTTCCTTCATTGTAAGTTTGGAACCACTGTAACTTTCTCCTTTGCAATGAAGATTTTAGTGATTCAGAGCAGCATAAGAAAGGACTAGGCTTATCTCACAAATCAAGAATGCCAAAAAGGGGTAAGAGGGCTCCCATGCACTCATATTGGGAAATTAAGTATAACTTTGTGCCCCTCTTTGCCTGGTCTCCAGAGCTTGTATGTCTGTTAAAAGTCTCCAGCTACAAAATCTGATTCCTCTGCTCAACCTGTGTTTCTGGCTGCAAAGGCCCCACACCACTATCAGGTTTAACCCCAAAATAGCTTTCATCTACGATGTGCTGTCCATGCCTCCACCACTGCAGAAGAAAGCTTTAAAAAAAAAAAAAAAAAGGTCTTGCAAGGTGAATGAAGAAGCACATGCAGGGGCTGAAGGGGCTCTACCATATGAATGAAACAAAGCAGCTCTATTACTAAACCACAATATAGGTGATACTGCAAGTATAATAACAGGCTAGGCTACAGTTCTTACCACAGGCAGCATCCTATAAATGTCCTCTGTAATAAGGATGGTCTTTTTACTGTCCACTTCATAACTCATGTTACTTCCCAGTGGAGTGTTGTTTTGAGAAGCAATAAAATTGTGAGCTGCATCACAGCAGGAAGCCAACTCTGACCTGCAAAAACAAACAAACAAACAAACAAAACCTGCTCAAAGACAGGCAAATAAGCAGAAAAGAGGTGGTACAGAACTAGCTGAATGAAAACCAGCTCTAATTAACTAAGCACCACAAGTCTGTATGAACCCTCTACAATAATGTTATTTTCCTTGACTTGCTTTGCAGAGAAAGCCCATTTTCACAGCAAATGTTCAGGCGCAGATCAGTTCAAGAACTCCTTCCCTTGGCCTGTTTTGCTCTCTTGGTCTCCCTTTGCCATGCAGAAGAAGTCATAATCAGGCTTTTCCTTATTATTAACTGCTAAGATTACTGCAGAAACACTGAGAGACTTCATTTCCCCAAAGAGTTAACAATGGGATTTCCATCAACCTAGAACAAGTGATTGTAAGAAAATAGAAAGCCGAAGAAAGAACCACTCAGATGAAAAGAATGGTGATGAGAAGTACTGGGTATAGCACTCAGGGAACAAATAGATGGTTGCAAGTCATTTAATTAATAATTCATTTCTGCAACTGTTCAGCACAGTTTTCTTGTGCACAATATATCACAAATGTTAAATAAATTATATCACAACTTTTAAATAAGAGGACAGACATCCTCTCTGTAGAGGCAGTCTAGTTGTGCCCCAGAATACCTAGCAGAAGTCCTTAAATATGTAAGAGCACAAGGGACTCACTCAAACTTCATGTTGGAGTGAAGTCTCTATCACTCATCTTACAAATCCTGCTACCTCCAAATTTATAAAGACATATAGGTATGTAAACAACCTATTTTGTTAACTGTGAAATGCAATGGCAAGCCCCAGCAGACGTTTGAGATCAGACCTGAAACTCTATAATGCATTTGGTTCAGGGAACGATGATCTCTGCAGCACTGGATCCGATTTTCAGATTGTGAAGCTGAACCATTCATGGCCAGCCATTACCTATCAATTGAAAGGACATAGCTATCTCGTGAAGTGTGATACAAAGGGAAATACCAACCACTCAGAGAGGGAAATTCTCTGATAACAGAGTTGCTTGGAATTTTGAAAATAACAGAGCAGGGAAAAGATAATAATTCCTGTCCAAACATGGAAGGTTAATTGTGAAGATAAAGAATAAACACATTTACAGGAAGAGCCAGAGAAACAGGAATGTTTTATCTCAAACTTTTTCCTTTGCTAAGGTAAAACAAACTTTGAAAAAATTCAACAATACAGGCCAAATTCTGTCTGAAAGTAAGCTGATTTTAATAGGGTAAGATGGGTAAGAGAAGTTGCTACATCTGATTTTATCAACATTGTACGCAGAGCACATATTCTAATAATAATATAATTTTATTTCTGATGGAGATGGGGGATGCTTTAGCATGTGGAAGAACCCAAGGACTTTATTTCCTGGAAGACAAGGGAAGAGAATGATTAGGTGGCAATTGCCAACCTACACTTCTCTTGAAATAATGTTCAAAATGGTGGGTGCAAAGGTAGAGAGGAGGAGTTTGGTAAGTAATTGGTTTGATTCATACATGAAAGAGCAAGAGTGCCATTTCAATTGGCACGCTGCTTACTGGTACATATTAACCCATTTTAAATACTGGTATCTGAAACTCCTCAAAGACAAAGTTTCCAGATGTGTGAGGAACACTGGGAACGATTGTGTTCTGGGATGGAACAGATCTGAAATAACCGTACTGGGAGAGTTAGCAGGAAATGTTACTGGGAAATAATTACTCCTGAGAGAGTAAACAGTAGGGTTTGGATTTGCACAAGCCACATTCCAGTCCTGTCCCTACACACAGTGATTCCCATTGCCTTGCTTGAAGCCTTAAGGTTGGGTTTGCAGTCATCCAAAAACTGTTAGGTAGAGGTGGGGATGGAACTAAGACCATGCTCTTGTGGGTCAGGAGGTGCTTACACAGTGAAAATAATTACTCTGTGCATATAGTGTCCTATTTTAAACACATGGAAAAACACAAATTGAGCCATGAGGCAAGAAAGTAAAATAAGTAAGTCCAGGAATATTGAATGTTATTCAACCAGTGGTGACTGACTGGTCATACCTGCCCCATTTCAGCCCCCATGTCCAGCTTCCCCACAGCCCTGCCCTGCTGGCCAGGTTACTGCTCTGGGACCCCACTCTCTGTCCCTTAGAGAGCAGCCAGCCCTCGTTGCTCCCTGGCAATCACATGGAGACAAGCAATATGGTAATTTTGATATTCTTGAATGTTTTTCTTAAAAGTAAACCAAGCAAGCCTAGGTATTTTCTGTGCCAACCGCAGGACACCTGGAGTAGAAGGAATAACACCAGCATATTCTTGCCCAGCTCTCGTAAAGCAGAATCGTGTGATGGCTACCAGAATCTGAGAAAGCAAACTGATGATAGATAACATTCATTAATAAAGATGATGCATTTTTGCTTTTTATTACTCATCCACAGGAATGAATGCCTCAATAAAAGCAGAAACAGTCAGGGAGAAAAGCAGATATCAGAATTAATAAGAAAGTAATCGCTTAAATTAATATTATGGGTTCACTGAGGAAGTAAAACAGAGCCAGAAAAAAAAAACTAGTTCAGAAATGCAGCAAGAATACACATTGATTAATGATATATATATTCTTATATCACCTTACAGCATACATGCTAAGACATAACAATAAAAACCTAGCACCTAGATCAAATCAGGAGACTTCCACAGTGCCCATGCATCCACGTACAAAGCTGGAAAGTGTGTAGCTGCAGACAGCAATGCTCAGGGGTAGCATACTCAGCAGTCAGTTCATATAAGACTTTTACAAGCTGGAACATGGGACACCTCTACAATACAAACAATGAAAGGGGTACAGACTGAGCAGTTCAGGTAACCTATTAGCACCGATGTCATCCTAAATTAATGTCATTCATGGTCTCTGTCATGAGCTAACGACATCCTGAAGTGCTTATACATAAGACTGTGACATGTATTGCACGAGTTGTTTCTTCAACAGGTATGATACATTAGGTGGTGTAAAGACAAGACGAAACTTTAACAAGTGCATCATGCCACCTGAGGAGAGAGAAATTAGTAAAATCTACAATACAAGACAATTTCTAACCAGATGGTGGGATAAGAGAGAGAGATCAGAATCATAACAGCATCAAATGATACTACCTGAAAGCCAAACTCTACATTTCCCTTGGAAGGATAGAAAGAGATCCATGTTGTCTGTTCAGACCAAGAAAATGCTGACATGGGGACAGCCCTTGGAAGCTGGGATGTTGCTATACAGGTTGTGCATCCACTCCATATACGTGTAAGAACACAGGCACATCTTACAGTGAGGTTTAAGTGCCAATTGTTATCAGAGCTGCTACACCATTCGAACTGATAATACATATCTCATAAACCTGAGGAAGTACAGGCATGATAGCCTTAATCAATAACCTCACCAGAGCGGTGTGCTGCATTTGTCTCTGAAGATTTGTTTGTATTAGAAAACACAGCATCACTGTTGAACTGAATAACGCTTTTTATTGATCGTCAGATGCTTTTGCTGAATTTCTTCCTTCGTGGACCAGCAACACTGGAACCAGTTCTGTATTGAGGTCAACTGAGATGGGATTCTGAGCCCACACAGCATCTTCTGCTTTGCAGGCACTGAGAACTTAAGACAATCTGTTTTCTGAAGCAAGTCTTCAAAGTATTGAGACAAGACAAAGGAATGATGTTTTCCAACTCCTATGCAGTTAGTCCATATTGAATCATGGGCAGTAATACAGCACTGCTGCATTGACTGCACCTGCATCAAAAATCCTCTGCGTAACACAAACCCACCACACAAATACTATACTTTATTTAGTGAACTGGAAGTCAGATGTCTACGTATCTGCAGGATCTAAACATGCTGATGCAGTTTCTTTACAGCTTCTGTAGTAGCTGTGTAGCCAGAAAACTCAGCCAGAACTACTGTATCCCTCCCAGCTGCAGAATTAATTAGCTCAGCCTGGTTCTGCACAAATATATGTCTCTGAGCTGGTTCGGTGCTTGGGCACAGCCCGCAGATGCCTGCTGACAAGACACAGCATGTGCACATCCTGAAGAGACTGAAAATGTCTCGACACTTTCCTTCCAAAAACTCATTTTGAACCAGCCATAAAGTTCAAAGCAGTTGGTTAACCAAGGGCTAGCAGAGTTTCTCAGCAGATCCAAAAGCCAGCTTTGTCCTTATCCTGAGCGGAATGGGAAGAATGTAACAGTTAATCACGGTGAAATCTGTCTTCATGCAAACAGATTCTGCAGAGTTTAAAAGATCCTGACTCCTCCACATTACTCATATAAGCAGCAAGAGGACCCTTGCTTCATCCTCCTGCAGAAAGCATGATGGTTTTTATTCAGAATGCTTTCTTTCATCAGAGAGGCTTAGCTAAAGTCATTTTGTTCTATATTTTTCAAAAACGTATATTCAGATAAATACCTGCAGGCATTTGCTTCTGCACAAAAACCTTACTCACCCTAATAATTTGTGGCACAAAAAAAGAAGATACCACTGGAACAGTCTGCTCCAATCCAGGGCTGGACCACTGGCCAACACAGTTAACTGTGATCCTCAAGGGGTTACTGTCCCCACCATGGCACGTGAATTGGCAGAATCTGACACAACTCTGTGAACTTCATAGGATTTATTTTCCGTAGGTAACACTTCAGCGTGACACCAGTGCCTGGAGACAGGAGGCCAGAGGGCATTCTTCACCGCTGAGGACAGCAGTGTGAAATATATCACAATGATTATACATTGGACTAAATGGAAGTGGGAGAAGGGAAAAGTGGATGTAGGGTACAATATTGCTCTAAAAAGTAGATGCTCAACTGTCCACTAAGGCCACTGGGGGAAGGGTGAGAAGAAGTCATCTTCATTTGCACAAAAGAAAGTTTAAATTTGCTATTAGGAAGCACACTGAAACAGGTTGCTTGGGTAAGGCACAGAATCTCTGGAGATTTTTAATAGATAACATGGCCAAACGTCTTTCAGTAATGTTCCA